TGGCAAAAATTAATCTAAGAATCCCAAGTAACAAAAAATTATTTAGTTTAGATCCAAGTAGTATATTTCCTTTTAACAAGATAATGGCTGTTACCAATGAGTTTTTTTAGCGAGGTCCAAATAGATATCTTTAATGTTAGCCTAAGAAAGTTGAGGACTGTACTAAATTAAGTTCACTAGATATAAAGGTTTGTTTTGTTTATAAAGTTCTTGTTACTTAACTCACATGTAACTACTATTAATTTTTTATAGTATCCAATAAATAAATTATACCTTATGGCTGCTTTCAAACAATTCTGTGTGTAGTCACTCAGTTTAAAGTTAATTTTAAATTAATGAGTTTAATAAGAATGTAAAATAGTGATATTTATAGTGTCTATGAATTTGCTGTGTGTAGTAAATGGCAAATAAACATAACTTTGATATTTTTATTACAAGTGTAAAAACTACGCAAACCATATACATATAGTTCCCATTTTTAAATAAATTTATAATAAAAAGTAACGATTTTAGTCTGCCATACTTGAACTCATTCACTAAAACAAGTCACTGAGTATATACCTATTTGTAAAAAAAACTACACTAAATATGTCTCCATTATAAATTTTTATATTTAAAACTACATAGATTTTGCAGTAAGTACCTAAATAACGTATAGAATAAATTTCTACAACATAGAAAAGTTTTAGATTAGAGTAATTCTTAACCCTTTCTGTCCCGGGCCTTAATTTATATGTTGGTCCCTCAACCTCAGAGGTTTTTTCATGCTACAATATGAGAACAAATATATACGGCAATGGGTCCGCATGACCTGTCTTAGGTGCCAACATTTTGCGGCTTTGGGACCAATAATCAAACATTTTCGGACATATTTCTACGGCATTGGGACCCCAATGGGTCTAAAATTTTATAAGTAGCGCATATTTTCGGCTTTGGTGAATTGAGACCATTCCACCTTGAACGTATATATACGGCGGCTGGGACTACAGACCCACTTTTTAAAAAACATATATATGCGGCGTTGGGACAGAAAGGGTTAAGAAATAAAGCAAAACCTCTATTTTGTTACTCTAACCTTGTGTGTTATATATTTTCCTTGACAAGCTAACGTTATATTTTGAACTAAAAGTAATTAAACTTTTCACTAAAAAGTAATATTTCACATATATAAAAAAATTTTAAAACGGTTCTGCCTTCTCACATTTGCGAAGACTGTCCTGATATCTAATCTATTTTCTTCTTCAAAGTAATTAAGTTGTTCAACCGTTGTCTATAAAGGTATCTCACATCTCGCTCCTACACACAAATTTGAAAAGCAGCAGAACAAAAATGCAACTAACCAGGTATACCAAGTCCGTGTAAAGAAAACTTTTCATATCCCGAAAACGTCAAGTGTCAACTAAAATTTCTACTTTTAAAGATCAAACGTGCCGCCTCAGAGTGCCAATACTGATTGGTATCACAGAACACTTACTCTTAGAACGGTATCTCCCATGTTAAAAAAGGATGATAGAGTTTTTAGCGGCACCTGGTGGACGTGGTTGATTTTTTTTCAATTAAGTCCTTGTCTGGTAAGAGGCCATATGAAAGAAGAGAAAATAATAAAAAGAAGAAGAGAAGAAAAGCGCGGGGCTATTCAAATTTGACACTAAAAATTATCCGCATTAAAAACTGTTAGCCAAATTAAGATTTGTTCACACAAATTGCATTTTTGCTTTATTATAGCGATATTCGCTATAATAAAGCAAAAATGCAGTTTGTGTGAACAAATCTTAATTTGGCTAACAGTTTTTAGATAAAAAAAACAAGAATATTAAAAAAATAAATTTATTAAAGAATATATATAATACAAATCCAATATTTAAAAAATGTAATGTATATGAAAATTGTATTATGTATGAAGTAGCTGGATGGCTGCTACATATTCCAGGATACAACACTGTCCATCATTTTGTGAAGAACTTTAGCTGTGAAAAAAGAAAGACAGTATAAGTACAATCTGATTAAAATAAATGTATTAATAAAAAATTATAAGTCCGAGGAATACTTTATTTTTTAATAAGTCCAACATCTACGATACAGCTTTGCAACCCAAACGTCATGAAACAGAAATTTCACAGTATAGGTATGCCGCGTTTGAGAATCCACATCGGATGCAACTGAGATGTAGTAAATCTTTGATCACGTGATTCAGTTTACGTAAATGTAATGGGACAGATGTGTCCGATTTAAAATAAACTATTTGAGGCGCTGTTCTCCACATCTCGGCAAATGGGCTAAAATAATAATTTATAATACTCTTAATATTACCTTATTTTAATTATTGTGCCACTATACTGTATTTGCTCAACCAGAATGAGTTGCAATGATTGCAAAAGTTGCAGAATAGAGGTCTGAGGATAATACTGAGCTGTTCGAGATTGGAATCAATCAATTCCATGTTGAATGTGCTTCAGTGGTTGCCTGTTAAAAAATATTTGCTATTCTATTCCCTGCTTTTTATATTTAAAATTAAATCAGGAATCTCCCCAGTATATTTACAAAATATTTTAAGTTATAATCAGGATGTTCATGAACCTAAACAGGTAATAAGAAAAATGTACACAAAATTCAGTGTTTTTTAAAGGTGTACAGGCTTTTAATAATTTGCCTGAGGATATTAAATGTTCTTCAAATGTGGCAATATTTAAAATAAAACTGTGTGAATACCTGTTCACCTATTGACGTTTTTTCTCTTTCTTGTTCTTTTATTGTTTTGTATAGTTGACATGTAAGTGTACTGTATCTTATGTATTTTTTATTGCATTTTAAATGTATGTTGATTCTATATTTATGTATTTTTTATATTTTAAACGTGAAGATGTATTGACATGTAAAAAATAGTTTTTTTGACTAAATAAACGTTTTATATATAGGTATGTGGATAAAAAAACGCTCGAGATGTAAAAAATGCATCTGATGTGGATTCTCAAACACAGCAATAAGTATAAAATAAATAAGTAGAGTACTAACTTTCCATCTCGAAAAGAAGTCCAACATATATTATTAGTCTGCTTCTGCTTCTACGATACAGCTTTGCAACCCCAAATGTCATGAAACAGAAAATACACAGTATAAGTATAAAATAAATGAGTAGATTACTAACTTTCCTTCTCGAAAAGAAGTCCAACATATATTATTAATCTACTTCTTCTTCGAACCTTTACTTGAAGTAGAAGGTGTTTGATCAACATATTCAATTTCTACGTTATTTGAGGAAAGTCCATCCGCTACTCTTCCAAGAACTGCTGGTAGGAATAGCGTTGGAAATGCTTCAGGTGTTAGACCTCGACGAGAGCCAATACTTTATACTTCTCTTCAAAATGTTTATGACATACTACAAAGGTGGAATAAATTTGTAGTCTTGTTTTATTATTAAATCTTGGACAACGAACAGCAAGTGCACAAATATCAAATAAATCGGGTGAATTCGTAGGGTGAGGCAGGCGATGCATCTTGTTGTCCACAACAAGGCAATTCGGTACACAACATTTTCTATAATTACGCATCTTTATGAAAAACCACAAAATAACAGCGGAAAAAGCACAAATTTATAATGGAAAAACAAGCTTATTAACAGCGGTCAACTAAATCAATTAAGCAAATTGGAAATGAAAACAACTGAATACAACAGTCACCAATATAAATAAACAAAGTTCACGTTTGGTTTAAGCCACGGTTTAAGCCAAGACGCCATGACACCCCCACAAAAATCAATATTCACCTGTCATTTACACTCCCACCACCTACCCCACCACCCGACTGCAGCGCCACGCGGACGTGGTTGATTGATCCCAGGCCTGCGCATACCAGTTTCCCACCCCTGATTGGTATATATACTGGGGTATAACTGGAGGTCGATAAACGTTTTGACAGGCAGTGGCTGACGGCTATCTCCGTAGCTGCCAGCTATCCTAAATAGCCGGAGATTGAAAAACCGGACCTTACTTGAGTCGGACTTGGGTAAGTCGTCCTTGAACGAAAATCGAAGTTCGGTTACAACGTCTCTAAAGTTCTAGGTAGTCCGGTGTTACACTGAAATTTAGAGATGGATATTAACAAATCTGTAACTGTTAAATACATTTACGGATTTGTTACTACCCATCTCTAAATTCACGCGATATAACCGAACTTTGATTTTCGTTCAAGGACGACTTACCCAAGTCCATAGATTACTAAATGTGAATAGATGGGAAACTCAATGGTAATATTCTGAGTCGATGTGCTGCCATCTATCAAATTGGAGTGGTACTAAAATTCAATATGGCCGCTTAGCGCGGGCTTTTTTAAATTTAACTTTCTACTAGTCGCGCAAAAATATAATGAAGAAAATCAAACAAAAAAAAATAAACTGGCAAAATATTTGACTAGTTTCAAATTATAAAACAACCATATTGACTGTTTTGTGATTTGAAACTAGTCAAATATTTTGCCAATTTATTTTTTTTGTTTGATTTTCTTCATTATATTTTTGCATTAATTTCAAACTTGAAATAAAATGCAATTTATTTTATTTATTTTTTTTATTACAGTAAATTAACGCCGCATCATATAATTTGTCTATTTAAACATGGAAATAGGTACTCAAACAAATATGCATTTATACCATTTAAATAATTAAATATTTATAAAACAAACCTATCAAAAATGTTTTCTGTAACAAACTCGACATATTTGAGTGCTCAAGACCAATATAAAAGTTTTGCAACTTGGAGTGGCAATAAGTTTGAAAAAACTAAAGTTGAAGCATCATCCTTTTGGTGTCTTACAATCAAGGCGAATTTGAGGGTGGATAAAATTTGCCATATGCTTATTGAGTCGACTAGTTAAGTTGAGGAACATTTCTTCATCCAATATTGTTTAATTGATTTATTTGTACAGCACCTGTAGTTATCAAATTCTTATTCATCATCTGAGCACTGTGATAAATGAATTTAACTTTCGTGCTTAAATTAAACTTACACACGTTTGGACCTTTGAAGATTTTGGGGTGTTTTCTTGTTTGATGTCAATGGCATTGAATCAAATTTTGATATTGATGGCTAAGGCTCAAATATTTCATCGATCTACAGGGTATTTTGAAGGGCCAACATTTTCTTTATAACAATGATCATTTAAAAACTGAAAACAAAAGAAATTTAGATAACAAACCAATTATTTTAACACTGAATCAAAAACAAGTTTGTAAATATTACTTACCATTGATATGCCAGTACGAGATGCATTTTTCTTAAGACACTTATTACAAATTGTATGTTTATCCTTAATATGACGACCGCATATTTAATACGTGGTATAAATTGCATCACTACCAATATCTGGGAGTGCTTCATTGTTCGTTGATGAAATCCATGTTCCCATCTCTTGAAAACATGCTTAAAATTGGAAGGTGTTGAAAAATAAATCTAGATGAATCAAAATTCAATACACCTTCAAATGCGACAGCCATTTTAATTTTTCCAAGTATGAAGTTTTGTTGACAAGCTGACAACTGACATGACATTTCGATACGAGCGCCATCCCGTTAATTGGAGTGGTACTAAATTACCGTCCTCATGTTTTTCCATTTGAGTTACCAGCCCCTGCCCAAGTCCGACTCACGTAAGTTCTGTTTATAAATACGGGCCTAAATACGGGCCAATAGTCCAACAAAATTCTTCTGTTGCCGAACTCAGCTATAGTGCGAGGTTTTGTGTATAGTTAATTAGCAAAGAGGAAAACGAAGAAGAATATGACAAATGACAGTCAGACAACCGAAAGAAAATAATTTTAAAAAGTATTCAAAAATGTATGTATCCAAATTAGGAAAAATTATCCTTAAATTTATTATTTAGAAAATATCTCTAGTTTATTTTTGAATCAGTCTTTTATCTTCTGAAAATTATTAATAAAAGATAAATAACTATAGTGTATTTTTTGTCAAAATTAACACATAAATAAGCTTAGATTTTCTATGTAAATAAGTGTTTTAGACAGATGATCCTGAAATATAAAAATGGAAGAAATTAAGCCCAGTAATACAAGCAACATAAGTGTTGATAATTACAGGAAACTAGTGCAAACTTATATTGATTTGGTAGGTATTTAAAATAAATTATTCACATATTTAATTCCTTAATTTCTAGCACATTTATAGTACTGCTTTATTTTGGGCTGATAAAGTTGTAGCAATAACAGGAAATCCCAAAGATGTTTATTGGTTAGCACAGTGTATGTACCTTTTAAAACAATACCACAGAGCTGCTTATTTACTTAAATCAAAGAATTTGGATAGGGTCAGTATTTCATGCTTCTTTGTTTTAAATATGATATGTTTATTAATATTTACTTTTTAGACCAATCTTCAGTGTGCCTATTTAACTGCTCGATGTTTATTTGAAGCCAATGAACTTGGAGAAGCCCTGAAAATTATCAACAATATCGATAGCATGAATTTTGTTCCTCCTTTCAATACCAGCACAAGTTTTTTGTTAATAAACACACCCAAAAACGTAAGCAAATTTGTTTTTCGATATAAAGATGAGTGTAACTATATGTAAGGTTTACTGTTAGTGTATAGGTACCTTTAATTTTTTCATAATGCCTTATTTTCAAGTGAATATTATCCTTAGAATTATTAAAAATTAATTCAAATAAAGTAACATCTCACAGTCGTCCTATAGTACTTATGTATAAATAGTATAGTTTATATTACATTATAGTTTATCTTAAAAATTTATAAATATAGAAACTAAAAGAATATTAGATCTTATTGAAGTCTTTTGAAATACTCGATAATTAATCAAAATTACCAATATACAAAAATACAAATGTTTAACCCACAACTGGGTAATGATGTAAAATGAGAACTGATGCTCAAAGGCTGACTTACCTACTATACAAACAAAAAATAAAATGCATATATTTTTATTATATTCCTACCTTTGATAAAATTCAAAAATACCGTATTAATATTAATTATATCTTTTAAAAATGAGATATGAGGTTTTATCAATATTTTTATTGCAATTTTGGCACTTAGGTGAAGGTCACCTCTGTATGTACCATGAAAAGAAATATATTTTATCCCTTCAATAAAATAAAACGGATGTCAAAGTAAATAAAGACTTTTTTATTCTTATTTTATTAAGAGTTCATTCAAAATGGTCCAGTTTTGAGAAATGAATAATTTGCTTGCTTTGCTAAATTTTACATGTTTCTCCAGGAGTTTGAAGTGAATTGTAACATTTTCATAGAGGTTCTATGCTGTAAATAATACATCCATAGGATAGGTGTTTTATTAATTTTTCACTCTGTATTTAAAAAATTGTATGGGATTGTAATATTTACCAAATATTTTTACACAAAAAAGAACCAATCCTGTAATTTTTGTCAATGTCATGCAGTTTCTATAAAAAGACAATTAAATTAGATATATGAATAAATATATTTTCTATTTATTTATCTTACAAGCGTATTGCATACACAAGCGCAAATCTAGGAGCAACTAAATGTATCTGTAATTATAAAATTTAAAAAAAGGCACTATATTATGAAATATTTATTCTGTAAAAATAAAAATTTAGCATCGATTTAAATATTTGTATTTTATGTATTTTTTAACTAATAAAAAATCTGAGCCACTCAAGACTTACATTTTTGATACATATTCTTTATTTTAGCAAGCTTATTCATCCTTTTTGTTGTTAAAAGGCAAAATACTCGAAGGTATGGACAATAGAGGACTAGCTGCAGATTGTTATAAACAAGCTCTTCATTTTGATGTTCATTGTTTTGAAGCTTTTGATTCTTTGATCAAATATCAAATGCTGACATCTTCAGAAGGTAAATTCTACATCAAATATTAAAGATTTTCTAAATTTTCCTTTTCTGCAATCACTATTATAACTAGTGTATGATCCAAAAAAATGTTGGTTGGGGTTCGGCTCTTGGGGCTAGGGCAGTTCGGGTCGAGATATTGAGACCAAAATTGGTATGTAGATGTATCATCCTTAAAATATAAAAATCGCTTAAAAAAATTTCGCCCCTTCCACCCACTAGCTGATATGGTGTCACGCTCAAAAAATAAAGTTACAATTTTTTCAATAAATATGATTTTTTTCTACATATAAACCTTAAATTTCAATTTTTTTTTTAAACATTTTTCCAAAAATATTTTTGGACTGAAAAATGTTCGACCTGAACTGTGGTTCAGATGTTGGGGCTGGCAATTAAAAATAGTTACAGATGAGATAAAAACCTAATTTTTTGCACATTTACAATAGGCCGATTTATAACGTTTTTGTATAAAAAATCTTACCACCACCATCCCCTATAGAAAGATTAAGGGGGTGGCATCCCTAAAAAATTAAATTAAAACTTTTTAAATTAATCAGTTGAAGTTTACGATTTTTTATACATTACCAAAATTTTTTTGATATTTTTCCTAAAAATATTTTTGGTGAAAAATTTTCGACCTGAACGGTCATAGTTCGGATGTGGGGGGGGGGGGTGGCATTCAAAAATAGTTACAAATGAGATAAAAATCCAATTTTTGGTACATTCCCAGATAGCACAAAGTCGTCTTTAAGACGTCTAGCATAAGACATTCGAGACGTCTTTAAGACGTCTGGTATTTCCTGAAAGACGTCTTATTAACGGCTTATATTGGTCTGTAGAGCTTAAAATAAGCCATAAATAAGACGTCTTTAAGACGACTTATTAATAGCTTATAATGGTCTTGTAAAGCCTTAAATAAGCCATAAATAAGATGTCTTTAAGACGTCTTATTAATGGCTTATAATGGTCTTGTGAAGCTTTAAATAAGACGTCTTTAAGACGACTTATTAATAGCTTATAATGGTCTTGTGAAGCCTTAAATAAGACGTCTTATTAATGGCTTATAATGGTCTTGTGAATCTTTAAATAAGCCATATATAAGACGACTTATTAATAGCTTATAATGTTCTTGTGAAGCCATAAATAAGACGTCTTTAAGTCTTATGAACGTAGGACGTCGGATATCTTGGTTATTAAAAAGTAGAACAACCTTGCAGATTATAAAATAATGCAAAAAAATAGAATTAAAATATTTATTGATAAAACATCTATTAATCACAGGTCACTAAGAGTTATTTTCTTTGTAGCGCATTCGATTACTCCTCTTTAGCCATAACTGGATTGATTTTTCTCTTTGATTTGTAGTTGCCTTTGTATAGCTCCTAAAAAGAAATTTAGTTAAGAGCATCTAGTCACAAAAAATTATAGGTACTTTGCAAAAGTTAGTAAAAACCGCCAGAACGGTTATCTATAAAGCAAAACAAAAAATTAATTTCTTAGAATTTTAATTCAAAGAATTTTTATAATCATTTAATGCAATATGAGCTATTATGCTTAATCGCCTACTTTAACAATTTTACTTTAACTTCATTTAAAATGGCTATCTAAGATGGAGTTTTTGATATTATTAGTTCTTAAAATCTCCATAAAAACAAACAAAAATGATACTTGACGAATATCTGAATTAAATCTTATATTAAGATGTTTACTTTTAAATTAATTTAATTATTCTTGGAAGAAACAGGATATTAATGTTATATGTATATAAACAAATATTCATTTATTACCTGTATTCCAGGAACGTGCCATTCTACATCGGTAACAAACTATTCTTCCCTCTCTGGTTTTTGTTCCATATTATTTAAGTAGAAAGAGACACAAATGCTCAAAATAGCCCAAAGTCGCTTTTGGTGGCTATAATCGTGTACGCAATAAAATAATCAATAATCCACAATGGGCCATACAAATTTTTGGCTTGGGCTTGAATGTATTTCTTCTTTTCTTCGTTTTATATGGGCTTAATCTTTTCACTTTTCCACTGCACTTGATATTTGATTTCAATTATCTTCTCCAAATATTACACTGAATATTTTGTTTAATTTTGTATACTTTTTAAATTCGGATGGTCACTTTTATACTAGATATTTTGTGATTTTTATGGGATTGCTTGGCTCCCGATTCGGAGAACGCCATTTCAATATTGCCACGATGGTGTCCGAATCGGAAGTCCGGCTTGAATATAATGTTAAATCAAACGTCAAACTTCACTTCATTTGATTCTTCTTGTTAAATTTGAATTATGTAAACCGTGCAAGTTTCCGTCCGACTGAAAGACGTTTGTAAGACGTCTTAAAGACGTCTTTGAGCTTTCACATTAATATATGGATTTGGCAAGACGTCTTAAGAACGTCTTTGAGCTCTCACATTAATACGTCTGAATTATGGCTTTTGAAAGACGTCTTATAAGACGTCTTAATAACGTCCTAGGACATTGAGACCAAACCAAGACACAAAAAAGACATCTTTCAGACATCGTGTGCTATCTGGGTTTACAATAGACCTTTCTATAGGGGATGGTGGTCATAAGATTTTTATACAAAAACGTTGCAAATCAGTTCTATTGTAAATATGGCAAAAATTAGATTTTTATCTCATCTGTAATTATTTTTAAATGCCAGTCCCCCACATCCGAACCATGAAAGTTCAAGTCGAAACATTTTCAAAGACAAAAAACATTTTTGGAAAAATATCAAAAAAATTTGAATTTTTGGTATGTATGTAGAAAAAATCGTAAATTTCAACTGATTTATTTAAAGAGTTCTATCTTAATTTTTTAGAGATGCCACCCCCTCGTCTTCCTATAGGGGATGGTGGTGGTAAGATTTTTATACAAAAACGTTACCAATCAGGTCTATTGTAAATTTTTATGTAATATGTAACTATTTTTAAATGCCAGCTCTCACATCTGAAACATGACAGTTCAGGTCGAAAATATTTTATATTTTTGGAAAAAATTTATCAAAAAAAATTTGAAATTTTGGGTTTGTATGTTGAAAAAATCGTAGAGTCCAACTATTTTATTGAAAAAATTATAACTTTATTTTTTGAGGGCGACACCCCCTTCATATCAGCTAGGGGGTGGGGTGGGCGAAATTTTTCTTGTGATTTTCATGTTTTTGGGATATTACATCTATATATCAATTTTGGTCTCAATATCTCGACCCGAACTGCCCTAGCCCCAAGAGCCAAATCCCAACCAAAATATTTGTAAGGTCTGACGAATACACAAATAGTCTTGCCTGAGATAACTGCAGGCGCCTTTAAATCAAATCCAAACAGACATGTGATATTTTCCAAGGCATACCTACTTTATAAACAATTTTGTTGGATCACTATATTATAAAATTGGGTCAAAGTTGGTTTAATGACAGGGTGCTCTGCAGGGCTAAATGAAAAGATTACCACTACATAATTCTCATTGGGAAAATAAAACTAGAAAAAATTGTAGATTTGAAAATGAATAATTAAGTCTGTCATTGCCCTACATTATTTAGTATTTCTTTAAGTAGTACTCAGTAGAAATTCTTTTTACTTTAAATACAAAAAAATGTGGTAAACTATTTTTTAAAACACTAAGCAGTAAATTATAAATTTAATAAAAAAATAAAAAACCAAAGTTAACATATTTTGTGGTTATATAATTAGATAGTTGTCAGTGCCTAAAGATTTGGTTTAGTTTTCTAAGAATAATATTTCACTGTAATAGAACTGTTATTGAAAACAAATTACAAAAACAAGGTAGGAAAATTAATGCACAATAACAAAGATTTTAAAGCCTGGCTAAAAAAATTATTCGTATATATTGGATGTATAGATTTTTTATTTATTTTTAGAGGAAGATTTGCTAAAATCTTTGCCAATCTCAGATCAGTGTTCAATAGAAGAAGCAGAAATTTTACAAACACTATACGAGTCCAAATTGAAAAAATACCACACTCATACATTACCCAAACCCAACGAAAGCAAAATAATGTTTGGCAGTACACCAGGTTCAACTGACAGATCCTTAAATATAATGCATCTCACCCCCAATCCAACATTCATTCACTCTGGTTTCTCTTTATCAACTCCTACTCTAGTCAGCACGCCGAACGTTGTGAGAAATAACGACAAAAATCTGAAAAAAACAGAACGGGATATTTTAAAGAATGATGACAGTCAGATGCAAGTTGAAAGCCAGGAAAATGCCTGTCTCATAAAACTGAAGAATAGTCTTGATTTACAAGTGGCTGAAGCTGAAAGATTGTATTATAATTGTGACTACCAAGCTTGCAGTTCTCTAACGGAAGCCATTCTCAAAATTGATCCTTATCATGACTCCTGTTTGCCTATACATATATCTTGTCAAGTGGAACTGAAACAGAGCAATAGTAAGACAATTATTGATATAATAATTACAGAGATTACATCACTAAAATGTAATCATTTCCTATACTTTTACTTGATTAATAATTGATAATCATGCATCATGTATTTGTCTAATAGCTGATAGTCATACTTGGTACATTTGGATGATGTTATGCAACAAAGAATTAATCAACTTTATCTTCAATGAAGACCTCATTGCAGTATCCACAAAAGCTATCCATTAACATACATTTTTCAATTTTTTTCTTTATTTTCTCCAATCAAATTCGTTAGAGCTTGGTTCGCTTTACTGTATAATACCTTCCATTTCATTTAATACTATAAAAATCTAGCAGACATGTCATTGCTTTTGTACTGTAACTAATAGCGGATTCGACTCAAATGCTCTTGCTTGATGACAAAGCGGTTTTAGTTCTGAATTGATTTTGGGCAGCATTTTTATAATTCAAGTTTATATCTAGCAGTGCACACAGCAAGCACGAGCTAGAGTTCGACATTGGTGTAGCGCATCTATATCGTTATTCGACTGACACGGTTAGCACTTGACATTTCAGGTTCCTTACAAATTTTTAACGATATTCATTTATAGTTGCCAAACCAAAATTATATCTCTATTAATTTCAAAGATTTTCCATTCTCACTAATAATAAAAACAAAGATGGTAATATATTTAAAAATATTTAATAATTCCTAACCTCCAAAATGACACTGGCACTGAAAAAAGTACAGTTCCAAAAAATTCGAACTTTGAGCAAGAGCGCCTGTCAGTCGAACAAAAATTTCACTATGCCTTGGTATCGAGCAATTTCAGTCGAATGCAATAATTGACTCTTAATTAATTAGGTTCTGTCAGTCAAATAAACACCACTTAAAAAAGTCGAACTAAATGCGCATTAATGCAGCCAGTCGAATCCGCTATAAATTATCGAGCTGTCTGATTCTATTACTTTGTGATATAATCTCTATTCCTTATTGAATACAACTTTTGGTATCGAGATTATGGATAATCATAAATTAATGCATTCAACATGTCAAATGTTAATTATACTCGTCTTTCTGAGCGATTATCGATAGTCCCTATCTATACCTTTTGTTATTATATTATGATAATTTAATATTTATTAATTTCAGAACTGTTCTCTTTGGCTCACAATTTAGTTGACTTATATCCAAATTTAGCCATTTCTTGGTTTGCCGTTGGATGTTACTATTATATAATAGGTAAATTTATTGATTTTTATTCTTATTTGTATTAATGGTTATTCGTTTTTTAACTGCTGGAAAAATTATTGCATTAATTGCTCTTAAATGTATGAAAGCCACCCACTTTACAGTTCGTAATTTTCCTTGTGTGCAATAAAAATGACAAAATTTTATTTTGATTTATCGTTACATACTTTAACTAGACACGTCTTTTTTGTTCCTTATGTTTATATTAAAAAACAAAATACATGTAAGAAGAATATCAGCCTGATTCGAAATTCTGATTTAGATTTACTAGAGGATGCGACAGGTTCTTCAAGGTTTTGCTGTTGCTGCTTGTATAACCAGTCTAAATTTGTGGCTTCCTTGGAACAGTCCAGATTAACAAATTAAAAAATAAAAGGTGATTTGGCAACTTTGTCAGTCCCCGGTCTAATTTTTAGTTTAGACCTTACAAGTCCAAATGTGGAAAACATTCGTTCTTATCCAGTAGATGATGCTACTGATGGCAGTAATTTTAAACACATTTCTAAGAAGGTGGAATGTAAATTTGTCTAATCAAAAACAAAATATTTTTTATCATCCAAATGTTAAGTAAATGTCTTCCACCAAGTCATGGGGGCATAAATGAAGAAATCGCTGAAAGTTAACACTCGTAAGGGATGAATTGTAGGGAGAGTATAATTATTATCTAAAATCATACCACTGCAATAACTATAATGAAAGTTAACTGTTTTTAGGCTAACGTTGATTTATTTTTCTTGTAATCTTCTTCACCGAAATAAGAGTTCCTTCCTGTCAGCTTTGCTTCAAATTACATAACTTTACACAGTGAAATAATAGATAGATATATTTATTCACTATTTTATGCATACAAAATATGTAGCATCTCAGAAAATTTAAAAATATTAATTACAAGTAACAATACAAAATTTTGTAACAGTTAAGCTTAAAAAAAAGATTATTTAATAAAGGAATATGGATACCTAACTCCTTAAATATATATTTATATTAGCTCATGTTAGTCCTGTTAGAGAACTCCTCAAGAGAATATGGACATAATTCACTAGGAGATCTTTTAAAGATTTATTAAATATTTGAGTTGAGATTGAACCGTAATCATATGGTAATGTGTTATACATTTTTAAACCTAATATTGTTGGTGGTTTAGTGCTTATTGAAAGATTTCTGAAAGGAATATGATACTTTGTGTATTGTCTTGTATTATATGAATGGATATCATTGTTATGCATATAAGTATCTTTATTTTTATGTACATATTTTAGAAGTTTTAGAATAAATACTCCATGTACAGTTATGGTATTCGTAAATGGATTTCAGCAAAATAAAATTGTTTAATATGTTGTGATGTAAGGTGTTTTGAAGATTTCTTATTTTTAAATTTTTAAGATAATCTGAAACAATATGTTTGAAATGGCAAATTTGCATCAAAGTGCACTCCAAGAAATTTAATATCATCATTATTTTCAATTTGGATGTTATTTACTCTGACATTTAGATTTGGCTCATTAGTATTTTGATAATTATGAAATTTTACTTATTTAGTCGTGGAGATATTAAACAACAGACATGCATCAGAAGACCACACAGAGAAACTATTTAACGATGTACAGATTTTATTTTGCAAAACGTTGTTTTTGACAGAAAATAGTAAAATATATAAGTGCTTAGAACTTTATGACGGATAATAAACAGGTTTGAAACATCTCTGATTTGTTTTAAATAAAGAACAACGAGCACGTAAAGAAATAAAGCAAAGATGTTGCTGTGTTGGAAGTAATTCTCGCTGTCTGTTATGTCGAGTGCAAGTGTGGAATGACTAGCAGCTGTGTGTCTTGTCGTGATTGGTTGAGGAAAACGAATCATGAGAGTAGATACTATTTTACGAATTTTTAGGACTTTTGAAAAATATATATAAAAACTGGACTTTTATGTTAAAATCAATGTCAAAATTGTTTTATGTTTGGTTCACTGGAATTGCAGCAAAGAAAATTACTAACTGTAAATCGCGGCTCTTAGTTTATTTATGATACGGTTAAAGTGTTTACTTGGCTAGTTTGTAGGCTAGTTGGATAGTATACAAACTATCCAAATGCCTGGCTATTTTGATGGATAATTATACTTCAACTAAAATAGCTATGAATATTGGTTGGATTGTATATTATCCAGCTAGTTTACAAAATTTCCAAGATTTATCGCTAAAGCACAAACTACAAGAAAAGTACACAAATTAACCGCTGTTTTTGACTAGTTTACAAACTATCTAAAGTAGTTGGATAAATTGTAAACATAATATTCCTAGTAACACATAATAACCAACTCGTCCGTTAGTATGTAAACTGACTACTTCTCTTTGGTAAATTTAGTTTAGGATAGTCAAAAATAAAGTTTATTTATAGGTGCAACATATCATTACTATTAAAAAATAAGTAAAAGTGGCATAAAAATATTTTTTAAATCACTTCCAAAAGTAGGTTTTCAAATTGTTGCTGCTGATTCATTTTCAGTACCTACTCTTAAACAAACTTTACAAGACACAGCACACAACACTTAACCATAAACATAACTTCACTTTTTTAATAAATTAACCAAAGAGGTTATCAATGTATTACTACGAATATTAAATTCACACCTCATCCAAATACTGTGGATAGTTTGTAAACTAGCCAAAAACACCGGTTAATTTGTATACTTTTATGTGGTTTGTACTTTGGCTATCAATCTTGTATAATTTGTAAACTGGCTGGATGGTATACAAACCAACCAATATTCATAGCCATTTTAGTAGAAATATGATTTTCCATTTGGATTGTTTGTATACTATCCAGCACGTCTATAAACTAGCTAAGTAAACACTTTAACTAAATATTTCATTGTTTAAGGTAAAAGTGACTTTGCAAGAAGGTACTTGGCCAAAGCAACTTGCCTGGATAGGCTTTTCGGACCAGCATGGTTAGCTTATGGGCATTCATTTGCAATTGAAAATGAACATGATCAAGCTATGGCTGCTTATTTTAAAGCCTCGCAGCTAATGAAAGGGTAGGTACTTCATAAATCATCGTTTAAAAGATTTATATGTGGTTGATTGAAATTGCAGTATATTTATTACAAAGGAATTAAATTTGACTGTTGTTAAGTGAAATTAATTTTTAAAAATTGTGGCCCTTGGTGTAAAAAGGGATGCAAGTCACTATTTGTCGTGAAGTGACTGTTTTTAACCGACTTCAAAAAAGGAGGAGGTTATCAATTCGTCGCGATATTTTTTTTTTTTTTATGTATGTTCAGCGATTATTCTTTAACACGGTGTCCGATTTCAATGATTCTTTTTTTATTAGAAAGGGGGTACTTCAGGGGTGGTCCCATATAAATTTAGTCAAAATCTAATAATTGGGTCCATGAGAAAATCCTCAAACTCTTCATTTTTGATGTATGTTTAGCGATAATGCTTTACCACCTTGTCCGATTTATATGATTCTTTTTTTGTTAGAAAGGGGCTACTTCAGGGGTGGTTCCATATAAATTTGGTCAAAATCGGAAAATTGGGTCCATGAGAAAATCCTCAAACTCTTAATTTTTTATATATGTTTAGCGATAATGCTTTACCACTTTGTCCGATTTATATGATTCTTTTTTTGTTAGTAAGGGGGTACCTCAGGGGTGATCCCATATAAATTTGGTTAAGATGTGGTGATGGCATCTGCACGTTTTTGAAGTCGGTTTTTTTAAATTTTTAATTTACACTTGTAACTCAAAACATTGTTAAAAAGGATACTATATACAAATTATTGTACGTCTAATCCAAAAGATGGCGCTATTTTTCGTATTATTTATATTTAAATATAATGCAATGTAACCTTATTACGCCAAGGTCTTCGATTAATAATATAATTTCAATTTTTTTTTTTAATTTTTACTATCTAATTGACATCTCTCGTATTTCACATTTACATTTATTTCGTTTCACCGATGAGCTTTCCCACTTCACTGTGATGGCAACTCGTGCATTTCGTGCTTTCGTAAAGGCGTAGGTACCCAAGAATTAGGGCTGGATTTTAAAGTACTTTTCCGTAGAGACTTTTGACGTAACGGGTCATCTGTGCTAATTGGTTTAAATAATTATCTAAAGCATTACTGTTCACATATCGCTTGTGCTTGTCTCTCTAATTGTCAGAGGCATATCATTATGGAGGAGAGCGTCCATCCTGAAGAATATCGTTCATCTCGGAGATATCATTAATCTCGGTGAATATCATCCATCCCAGAGAATATTGTAAATCCCACAAAAGAGATCATCCATTTCGGAAAATATAGCTCACCCCAGAACTCCACTCTAGAAGAGTATCATCAATTTCGAAGAATATCGTCCACTTCTGAGAATATCGTCCATTTAATTTGCACTAGCAATTTTTACAACATCAATTTTGAGCCTAACCACATAATTAAATTAATTAACATCAGTAGAATCATTAAACCTTAAGTAAAACAGGTACACCGTCTACGATTTCCATTTGTCAGGGATGAAAAGAACACTGCAGAAATGTAATGATGAAAGTTGACAAAATATTATTTATATTTGAAAATAATTCCAGGTGTCATCTACCTTTGCTGTACATCGGTTTGGAATGTGGTTTAACGAACAACGTTAGATTAGCTGACAAATTCTTTCAACAAGCTCAAAGTATTGCTCCAGACGATCCATTTATAATGCACGAAAAAGGTGTTATAGCTTTCCAAAACTTAGAGTAAGAATTTTTTTATCAATCAATATAATATTTTTATGATATGCGTTGGGTATATTGTTCTGTGAATTTTAATTTTTAGCTACAAAACAGCAGAAACGCAGTTTAGGAAGGCATTAGAAAGGGTGAAAAGGATCAAAAAGGGTATCGTTCCGCAAAGGTGGAGCCCTTTGCTAAATAATCTAGGTCATGCTAGTAGGAAATTGAAAAAATATGAAGAAGCGTTAAATTTTCACAATCAAGTATGTTTAGATTTATTTTGTATATAATTATTTTGATTTAGATGTAGGCATTTTCCCTCCCTAGATCATATATTGTTCTGAAGATTATAACATTGTTATCGAACGTTATACAGGTTGTTATTAAAATACATGTCGATATTGGAACATATTTATATTTAGGCAAGAATATTTTGAAAATGCCAATAATTGGAGGAGTAATTACATTTTTTAAATTTATGTTTAATCAGACACGCTACTGAAGTTGGCATAGCTCATCTACAAAATCTAGGTCACCTAAACTGATCGAGTCACAGGCTCTCTAAAATTTTTAAATTTGATAATTCAAGTTGGGAGCTACATTTACATCGAGGTACATATACAACTATTTTCACAAAAAAAAAAACACTTTAATCATCAAATTCTAAAAAAGATATGAAAGAACTAGTTTAAATCTTGGCCTAGCATAATCATGAATCAATCTTTTTTTGTTCGTTCTTTTTAAACAATGATTTGTTACCTAACGAATGAGACGTTCAATCATTCTCGACACATAAGGATTGTTCAAACTTGAATTTACTTACGAAATTATTCGAAAAAATAATTTTTACTGCTGTAGGAATTGCCTCAGTTAAAACTAAGTTGTGTTTACTAAAATTATTACATGAATTAAACTGTTTAAATCACGTGAAAAAGTTGTGAACCATTTACAAACAATTGTCACAAAAAAAAAACAACACTTTAATCATTAAACTCTTAAAAAAGATATAAAATAATTAATCTAAATCTTGGACTACCATAATCGTAAATCAATCTATCTTTGTTCGTTCTTTTTAACAACCTAAGATGTAAACAATGATTTGTTAACTAACGAATGAGACGTTCAATGATTCTCGACTCTACAAGTATTGTTCAAACTTGAATTTACTAACGAAATTATTCGGAAATAGCTATTTGTGTATTAAGAGCAGAAAGTGCTACTTTGCTGCTTAAGATAAAAAGTTGCCGCGCGACGGGCAGCGGAATGCGGCATTTTATCGTAAGCGGCAAATAGCTTTCCGCTCTAATTACACACAAGATTTTTTCTACGATCACACGATATTGAAAGTATATAGTTTTATTTTGCTGAATTCAAATCTAACCACGTTAATTTGACAGACACGGCTAACTTGACTAGAAATCGAAAAGTATGTTGTGTATATTGTGTTGCCCGCTTACTCTAGGATTAATTTTGTGATACGTATAAAAAATATTTGTTAGTAAGTATATCTTAAAAATAACTAACAAGATCATCGGTTAGTATACTCAAATCGCATATTAATGGCTCAATCACTGTTTTAAGTTTTATTTCATTTTACAAACAAAAAAATCAAATTTACAAAAAAATAACTGGTGAGGATTAAACTCACGACCATCAGGTTCAAAGACAAACGCCCTAGGCTCTACACCAACAAGACATGTTAAATATGAGTGTTAAAAACAGGGTAATTTATTTTTAATATTTTAATTATCATTTAAATATTAAGGAAAATGAGTGAGTATTAAATGTTCAACTAAAAGATTCAGATTAGACTACATTTTCTTTTAAAATACCGATTAGCTTTATAATAACAACCTTTCTAATGGAAATAAGCGTGTGCAAAAAGTAACTTTCCGCCTATATGCGGCAATAATGTCAAACTGACAATTCATGGAAAACGTCAACTGTCAACTGCTGTAGAAATTACCTCAGTTAAAACTAAGTTGTATTTACTAAAATTATTACATGAATTAAACTGTGTTTAAATCACGTGAAAAAATTCACAATAATTGAATGTATGAAAAATGCTTGTCATCTGTTATTTAGCCAAAAAATTTAGCATAGTTTGTATGATGAACGAAATTCTACCTCCAAAGATATTGCAACTCTGTCACACATTCCTGAGATTTCATTACTGCCTAATATTTCCTAATTCAACTATACCCCAATGTCCGTTGCTGACGTCACAAAACGAAATACACCTATTAAACTGGATTGGTCAATCCTGATATGGTTTCTGGTCAATCCTGATATGGTTTCTGGTCAAAGTGGTGTGTGAGTAGTTCTCAGTTGTCTTCGATAAGTGATTCTCGTAATTAGAGTTTACTCTCCGATCAAACCAGGTTAACTATTTATCGAACCATTTTGATATCAACCTTCGTCATTTCTCAGATGTCAGACAAATATAAAATTTCTCGATTTAAATATGGATTATGTGGACCAAGAATTGAAAAAAAAAACCGTTCTGCAAGCGCTAGCAAATAATTTATCAAAAATTATGACTCTTATCAGGTATGTTTAAAAAATATCTTTTTTACTTGGCACCTTATGGTACCTGCCATTAAAGCTAATCTCGTGAACTAACCATCAATTTTGTTCTGAAACAATCTTAAACTTTATCAACTATAATCAGTCCATCAATCTTCATTAGATTGTTCTGACTACTATATACAAGTCACTCACACACTGTGCTCTGCTTTCACAAATACACAACACACGAACTCAAAAGGCTTGGTCCTCTTCAATCGTCGGACATGGTCCTAATAGCCAAGCAGCTGAAGATGTATTAATATTTAGGTGAAGTCTGGCTTCATGCTTGCCAGCAAACCTTTTGATTTCTTCTTTCACTGTTGGAATCCCAAGATCTCGATGAAGATCTGCATTGCTCACATAATAGGGAGCGTTTACTATGTTATGCAATATTTTGTTCTAAAAGGTTTGGATAGACTTAAATGTTGCTATCTCTGGCACATCCCCGTAATTGAATGTCGTAAAGCCACACCGGTTTATGACCTGGTTGTAAATTAATATTTTATTATGTACTGACAATTTTGAGTTTCTGTCCAAGAGCCAGTAGTGTTGTTATTACTTTAATCCCAATTCAGTTCTTTTCTTTTTAACATGTACTTTCCATCAAAACTTGGCATCAAGAGTCATGCCAAGGTACTTTGCGTTCAGCTCATTCGGTACATTCTTTCAATTGATATTTAGAGAGAGGTTCTGCTATTTTTTGATTAGCGAAGTTCTAATGAATGTATTTAAGTTCATTAAGCCTAATTCTTCATTGATTGGTCCATCTAACTAGGGACTTACTAGCAGTTTGGAGTATTCTTACTGATCTTACTTGGTCCTGATCAACTGTAAGGAGAGCAGAATCATCAGCGAAAGTAGCTACATATATCTTGCAGAGTTAAGAAGTCACTAGTGTAGAGTAAGTATAAGATGGGTCCAAGAACACTTCCTTGAGGCACTTCAACTCTTATTTCTTTTAAATTAGAATATTCGCCTTCTGCTTGATTCTGAAAAGCCTGTCTGAGCTATATGATGTTATAATCTCTACATATTGCTTCAGGAGCATTAGTTTGTGAACCAAACCTTCATGCACACCTTGTCAAAGTCTTGGGCAACGTCTAAAAATACTGCAGAGTAGACTTGTTTTCCTTCGTCTGTGAATCTATTTACTTGGTCAATAGTAGAATGTTTCTATCGAAACCCAAATTGGAAAGCGGATATCAATTTTGTATCTTCTGTTAGAAGTCTTAATCTTTTTTAGAAGTAATTTTTCAAATAATTTTGACACAATTAGAGAGAAATAGGCATATAAGACTTAAAATTGTTCGGCGGTTTTCCTAGCAAATCAAATCGGTTTATTCACCATAAAAAGACATTCACATAGTGAAAGCCACTTATCAGGCTAATCAAGTTTAAACAATATTAAAATTTTTAAAAATAATTGTCGTAAAAAATAGTAAACCCTAAATTATATTCATAAGACTACTTATATTATTAAAAGAAACATACAATTTAAAATTTAAAAAATGACCTGGTTAACACATGATACCTTCATTGTGTAGTTCAAGAATTGATGAACTCATCAATATTGTAAAATGTGTTATTGTAGAGGAAGTTAATAATTTTATTCTTTATGCTGTTCCTTGGGCTGACTAAGTCAATAAGCGTTTTCATTTTATTGAAACATTTAACGCCTATATAATTGGGAGAATTCTGACTCACTCTCAGTCTTGAGAAAGGTGCATGAATGTCATCGTTATGGCGGGTATTATATGAGTGAATTTCATTGTTTAAGGTGAACTAGTTCTTATTATCATAGATATACAGTAATAATTGTAAAATATATAAAGAGTGCACTGTTAGAATGTCATATTTCTTAAATAGATTTTGGCAGCTTGCTAATGTATGAGCTCTATCCATACATCTTACAATTTTCTTCTGCATGATGAATGCTCTATCTGTGAGGAGGAACCCCACACCAACAAGCCATATTGTAACTGGGATTGTACCAGTCCGAAATATAATATTCGCAAGATGTTAATGGAAACTTTATCCCTAAGACTTCTCAAAATGAAGAAGGTGCTAGTCAGCTTAGAAATTTCATTGATTGAGTACTTTCTATTGATTTTCCAGAAAGTTTAATTAGCAAATCTTCGTCAGGAGTAATATTTTTAGGTAGAAACCTCATATATAAGGTTTTCTCGCAATTTAGCTGAAGGCCATTTTTCTCACAATATCCCTCAAATTCCATTGTGACGTTATTTCCATTTTCCACTAGGGTACTGACACATTTCTCAGACAGTATCATATTGGCATCATCCGCATAAAAAACAGCTTTATCTGATGTTTCACAAGTGTTTAAAATGTCGTTTATAAAAATTATAAAGAATATTGGCCCAAGCAATGTGCCTTGGGGAATGTCTAATTCATTACTCTTACATTCAGATGAAGGCCCATCAATAGCTGTTGTCTGACACCCATCCGCCAAATATGAGACTACCCAGTCATGTGGCTTTCCTCTTACTCCTATACATACCTTCGAGATTTTTTTAATAGTAAGCTGTGGTCTATTGAGTCAAAGGCACGGGTAAGGTCATAAAAAATATCTATAATATGCTGTTTCCGGTTAAGTTCTTCATATATATAGTTTATACATTCTAATATTGCTGTGTTAGTTGATTTATTAGCTCTAAACCCATGTTGGCTGTCGGAA